ATCCCGTGAGTGTTGTTTCCTTTTAGGAAACCCCTGAAAACAATGATTGAAAATAGCTAACCGTTGCAATTTACTATAAAAATCGAATTTCTCATATGAGTGTCGATCACTCAAATTTCATAGTAAAAAATTTATTCACCTGATCTGCGTGACATCTCGGTCGACTGATATGTACGGTACATACTGTACGTACTGTACGTGAAAAAAATTAGGCTATCATATAAATGGCATATCACTATTCGTGACACCATAAAATGCAATAATGTTTGGGTTGGTTTCTTGGATGCTACTAATTTTTCGTAGTAGTTTAAGCTAATTACGATTATGAATGAATTTAACACATAGTTTATTATTTTATTACATAATTTATTATTTTATTATTCTGTAATAGGATGTAATTAAGGTTTTAACGTAAAAAATAATACTTCATTAATAAATTCTTTAATTTTTTCAATTTTTTTATTTAAACTTAAGTCAGTACAAAATTTAAGACACTTAATAACTACTAAATTTCTATCTTTCGTTTCGCACTTAAAAATCCTCCACAACCTCCACTGTCAAAATGTGTAAGGCATGTGAATTGATTATAATCAAAATATTTTTCATTAGAAATAGCTTTTTCGAACTGTTCTATTATTTGGCTAACGATTTTGATATATTTGGCTTATCTATACTAATATTTGACAAGGTCGCATTTGCGTACGTACGGTTCATAAAACACAAAAAATCAACAAAGTAAAACTAAATACGTATTGCATATAGCTGTAGCTATATACCAGATACGTACTCGAACCTAGAGAGGCGCCTCTTTAATACAGCCACCTCCTCTTTTAACAACCTATTTTCATTTTGATATTCAGCATATGCTTTTTCGTACATTTCTACTTTATTTTCTAAATTCCTTAAATAATTTTCTCGGCGTTCTCGAAAAGCACGTTGATTTGTTAAATTTTGTTTGTGTTTTTTATTGGATGGCATAATGCTTAATCGTTTTCTACCACGCCTATATTATAGGGGTTTCGATGTACTATGTAGATCAAATCAATCTGTAGTGTCGGGATTATTATTGGATGCATGTGGATCGATGATCCGGGGTATAATGTACAGGGTCCAGATAAATTATAGGATGATTGACGCTATGATTAGTAATAAGGTTGGGGAAATACTGTCACGATTTTCTTAGAAAATCGTGACTGAATAATGTACGGGTGGTAACGAGAATGTGTACAAGCCTTAAGTCACACGAGTTATAATGGGGCTAAGTAAATATTAAGGCTTGGGTTATTAAGGGACATAATATTTAGTAATTCGTCATTTTTGTTTATCTTGATATCTGAAGATTCTTACTTGTTTATTAAGGCGTAATGACTAGAGGGGGGCCAAAGCTTAGAAAAGGTTAAAGAGAGTAAGGCGGAGTAACTAGAGTATAGAAAAGCTTAGTTAGTAAGATAGAAAATGAGTAAAGGAAATATGTAAATAACCGGGTACTTAGCGAATGTATAATTCTTATTTAACTCGAAAATATAAAAGAGCTGTCTTTTCGCTCTTCGAATAAAGCTTTGGACTTCAATGTCTTTAATATAGGAGTATTAAGAATTGATTTTTCGAATTGATGTTATATAAGTTACCGTTGTATTATTGTATTTATTTTATATTTTGTTTCCCTTATCTTGACCGTGAAGGCTCTTCACGATTGTATTATACTCTTTTTGTTATTATCTATTACTTTATTACCTTATAAGTATCGACCCTTAATATCGATTACACTGATTAACTATTGATATTACTGATTTATTTAATTACGATTACATAACTTGATTTATTCCATGGGTACTATGTAACAACCCGTGCTTTTTCTTCTAGGTTATTTTCACCGGTCTATATGAAAATCATG